TGTTGAACTGTACTGTACAGTATAGTACAGTACTGTAGTTTATGCATCAGTACTGCTNTGCATTATACATGATTGCATCTAATTGCATCATGTCTACCTACAGTATTTCTACATTGTACAATGTACAGTACACTAAAGTGATACAACAGTAAAATATCTGCGTTGACTCTCGATTCTCATCAGCACAGTAACTTTATGTTTTAAATTGACAATATCTACTCGTCTTTTCTGATAACTAGAAGGCATCATTTTTTATGTAACTACCACTACTGTACTGTATACTAGAGACCCTCTATTATGGTTTCTACTGTACAGTACACTAGAGACCCTCTTAGGGTTTCTACTTTCTACTGTACTGTACAGTACAGTGTGAAGCAGTTCGAATCAGAGTACGGGTGTACTGTACAGGGTTAAAATCACGAGTGTGAATCAAAATGTAATAAGACCTAAGAATTAAATTATACGAATATAAAGCTGAATAACTTGGCTTTTTAATTTAATTGATTAAAATGAGGTTATTATTCAGCTTTATATTCGTATAATTCTTATTACATTTTGAATCACACTCGTGATTTTAGGATACCTTAAAGTACTCTGATTCGAACTGGTTCACACTGGTGTGAGCCAGTTCTCTTTAGAGTGCTATTAGGCAAAATAAATTGTAGTAAAGTTGCAAAATTTGCCTTAAATTCTAAATTCTATGTACATACAGTACAGTACAGTACAGATAGATGAAGATTTTAGGATACCTTAAAGTACTCTGATTCGAACTGGTTCACATTGTACTGTACGCATTAGAGACTTTCAGTACAGTACTGTACCGATGAGATAAAGTCATGACCCCGTGACCTTTTGCCTTCATAGTACTGTACTGTACCATTGACAACTACTGTACTGTACGTACTGTATAGTACCGTACTGTACAGTATCATTAATTTGCGCGTGAGATTGCTGAGTCATACAGTACTTTATGTACTCTGCTGTACACATTCCTTGCACATTGCAGGTCACTCCAGTGTACACTACGGTAGAGCGTAAATTACTCTTTTAAGGTTCATGGCTTAAGCCATACTGTACAGTACAGAAGGCAAGTAAGCTTTAGTAGTAGTGGAGCACTGTAGCACACCGAACTATGTATTGTGCGAGCTTACTTTTGCATATTTTGGATTTACCGATCATTCAGTCTGCCAGCGTACCTGATAGTGAAATTGCGGGCTAAAAAGTTATGCAGCTAAAGTTTTACATATACAGTTCACTGTAATCTGAGGTGTGAATAAGTTTACTGTCAACTCCATCTGAGACGGCTGACTTTATCACGCCATGTGTAGATTGTAGACTGCGCAGCATCACACCATACCATGTGGCCCACGCCACAGTTCGGCATTGTACTGTACTGTACGAGTGTACTGTACTGTACAGTGTACAGTTTTGCGAAGCAGGAACTGTGAACTACATGAAACACGCTAATAATACTACTGTAGTTGAGTACTGTACAGTACAGTACAGTACTCTTTGATTTATGCTACAGTCCAAACTACAGTACAGTACAGTACAAGGGGACTGACTGCATTGTAAATGAATTCATTTTTCATTGTAAAATATAGAGACAGGTTGCTAGATACACACGGTGCAGTGAGGCGGTGTTAGGACAAGCAAACGTGGCACAATCCTTACCGAAGCACAAACTATCCTGCGCGTCATTTAACCGCATTTTTCAAGAAATTGGCTTAATATTTAGGTAGATAGCAATTAATCTTCATGAATCGATGTTACAGCGAAATTGTTTTTGTACTAGTTTGATGCTTAAATTGGATAGAAAGATTTAGAAATTAAACCATGCCTCACCAACCATACATGTACCGATCAAAAATTTAGAAAATTTTTGCATATATCACCGTTGTATAGCTCGTACGAACCTCAATACTACAGTAACTCTACTGTGTTGTACATTCCGGGTTGTGTTTTGAGCGTCTAATTAACCCAGCATTCCCATGGAACACCAGGAAATCGAAAAATCGCCGAAAGGAGGTGTGTGAATGTACTGTGGATTTATACAGTATAGCATACAGCATACAGTACAGTATATAATTTCTGATTGAACAAGTCACCGTACTCATTACCTATACTGTACACTACAGGACATACAGTACAGTACTGTAGTGTACCAGAGTGATACTGTAATTGTCATCAGTACTGAACTGTACTGTACTGTACTGTTTGATGCAACAATTGCAATTTCGAATGTGGGATAGCGTCGTACTGTGCAGTACGTACTATACATACTGTACTGTACTGTAATGTAATTGTACTGTACAGTATGTTTGCAGCCAAATAGATACTGGACGAGAGATGCTGCAATAAAGATTGCTGTACAGTATGTTTATGGGATTAATTAAGAATCATTTATTCGTCTAATATGCTTTGTAAAACCTGATGATCATCTCGTAATGGTCAATTCGATAGACACGTACAGTAAAAGTACAGCCGTTCAATATCATCGATATTTTCAGGACTTGACATCGGTGTACGGACGATCAGGAAGGCTAATTTAGGTTTTAATATCGATTTTGCATCATGAAATATGTACGGATAGCTGCAGGACTATGAGCTAGTTTATGAGATCGTATCAATATCCAATCGATATGACTGGATATTGAACGAGGCATCATTAGATTACATCAAGAATTACATACGTACTTTGTATATGTAAAGTATACTATTGTGATGCATGGTATATCATAGTCAGATGCGTGCTTAGATAAGGCTGTCTTGAAACTTGTTGCAGTACTATCTGATATGGACAGGATATCCGTCAATAGCTATGATGCTGCCGTTGATACCCATCGAATTCGCTGGAATAAACCTCAAGATACTGAGGGTTAGCAACGAAAATTCTTCCCATAGATACCAGGCTAAATCGATTGTCTCCATCTCTACTATCGGATCAAACACAGAAGTAATGTATTGTTTGTAATTATTTTTACTGCCTAGGTACTCCAGAAGTAGCACCATGTGGACTGTCACAAAAGACTTTCAAAATGCTGGCAGGACTTGTGATTGTAATTGCAATTGCCGTCTCCTGGGTTGGCTCCACTCAATTTGCACAGAGCACCTATAGCGCAACATTTTTTGCACCGTATTTCACAACCTGGTATATTTGTGCTATTTCAAATAACATTCGAACATTGCTTTAGTTTTATCTCTTTCTTAAAGTGTGCAACTTCTTAGCACATTGATTTTGCAACGTCACCGCCTTTTAAAACTAAATTTAAGTAATTTAATGTTAATCGCTTTGATAGGTTTTCTACCTGCTGGATTATTGTATGTTACCCGACCATGTTACTTGTTGGTAAGCTGAAGGGCAGGTCATTTACTGAAATGTACAGGTATAGTGATATTAACAATTCATTTTAGGCGATATTTTAAATATAAATATCATGTTAATACTAATAGTTAGTGGACATTGCCTAATGGAATGCTGATAATCCAATACTGTAGGGAGAGCGAAACTATCTACGGCCCGCGTGGGTTATGCTTGATGAACATACTCAAAATTGCTCTTCCATTCTGTATTTGCTGGATAGTAGCCAATTTCCTGTACATTTACGCTTTGGGATTAATTCAGCCATCCGACGTAACAGCAATCTTCTCGTCGACGTCAGCTTTTGTATATGTTTTTTCCTTAATCTGGTTAAAGGAATCATTTATGATACTTAGGGTAGGCTTCCGTAATTTTTAATGCAAATACAATTTGGACGTTGCAGTCCTCTTTGCGAATTTCTGTGAAGAATATTGATCGACAATTCCTTAATTTTTTAAAATTAACCTGAATTGTCTTGCAGGCGATGGCTACCGCAATATCAATTGTTGGAATAGTTCTCTTTGCCTACTCAGACGGCTTTGGTCGCTTTCAATTAGTTGGGGTATTCTTGACTGTTGGGGGTTCGATTGCGGCATCTCTGTATAAGGTAACTACAATGCTAAAGTGAAATAATGCATATTCTAATGCGACTACGCTGATTATTATTCATGCTAAAATAAATTAATTATTTCACGTAGGTATGGTTAAAACGAGTTGTTGGAAACGCTTCTTTTAACCAGATAGGTTTTTTCCTGTCTGTATTAGGACTTTTGAATCTTCTCCTGTTTTGGCCAATTATTTTAATTTTGTATTATACAAACGCTGAGACAATTGATTGGAATAATCTTCCAATAACTTTCTTATGTGGTTCAGCAGTTTTGGGTGTAGCGTTTAATTTCCTTGTAAACTTTGGTATCGCCTTCACATTTCCGCTGTTTATTTCGCTTGGAACTGTAATTGGTATTCCAATAAATGCGTTAGTTGACACGATATTTCGCCAGAAAAGCTTTGGTGCTATTAAGATTGGTGGTAGCGCTTGCATTATTATCGGGTTCTTGGTAATGCTAATCGGGGATGAGAAATCCCGACAAATATCTGATAATATTATGAGCATTTTATGCTGTGGAAGATCAGTTCAATTTTGCCATAGATCTACTGATAATCTTAAAGAAGATGAGTTAGAGAGTGACCCTAAAGATATTCCTTCAGTAGCAGATATGAATAGTCACAATAAAATTGAAAATGGAGTGAAAGCGTGAGCCTATTCTATGTATTGTTGACAATAAGATAATTAGACTTGAAATCTTCAATATTGGACTTATACCCTGTTACTGTTTTACTGAAGCTGCCATACCGATATTACTGTAATGTCGCAATAATGTTATCGTTATGAATGTAGAGTTTGAATAATATTATTCAATTGTTTAAATGCTATCTATTGAATCGTAAATATGATATCGATGAATACTTTTTTATGAGTATTTTACATTCTAAATATCAATACTTGGCTGTATTCTTTATTTGTTTGATTGATAAATTTCGCTTATCTTCCTGTCTTTCACTTATTATTTAATATTTTATTTAATTACTTGAATATTCGAGGAGGTTATTCAGACAGCCCTGGTTGATACTCTTCAATTGTTAGTTCTATATTTTATAAGTTATGTCAACTTAATTTAATTCTAGGACTATACTCATATTCGTAAGATTTTCGAATAAAGTTTGAAGATAGGTTTAGCATCGTCACGCTATTTAACTATGTTGTTGATCTATTAGAAAAACAGATTCATGATACAGTACCATATGTATCAATTTTACCTTACTACTAAAGTACCGGCCAACTTCGATATGATGAGGATATGTTGCTGCCTGCTTACATGTCCAGGAAGAAATAGTAATAAGGACACAAACATGATGTTCTGTTACATTATTCTTCCCGTGGAATCGTCCACTATGCAATAACATTTAAAAATATAATTGCAAGTATTGATTACTACTCTAGGATTTTAAATGCAAGTATTTGCTTAACTTGACAGTGTGCATGTCGGCCATAGGTTGGAAATGAAATTATAACTCTAGATGCAAAAATATACCGTTCATGGTTAAAATTTTCAATCCTACGTGTACGTTTAGGTATTTCACAGGACTATACATGTAGGTATTAAGTAGATGGCACAAAATATCTGAGTCTTCGAAATCAGGCTATAATTTTTAGCATTTCATAATAACTTTTGATATCCTTCGCTAATTAAACACCGTCGGCATTCCAAGGTTAAAGGAGGCTCAGCTTGGTATTTCTTAATATATTTCGAATTATAAATTTCTATCAGGGATGACGACAATTCCATGATGATACTAAAGCTTTTGAAATGGTAGTTTAGAATCGCGTTAATTTATATCGAATTAACGTGAATGTATGTTTCACAAAGTGTTGCAAGGTTCTGCGTTAGGAAAAGATATATCTGAAAAATTGTTTTACTTTTTGTTTACAGATAATGAAAAGCATTAAAAACTAAACGTCATCTGCTATTAATTTGACCATATTTTATTATTAAGTAATTGTAAATGTAGATTTTATCTATTAAGCGTAGTATATCATCACAAATAAATAATACAAGGTTAAACTACTTAAAAATAGCGATTAAATTCTATTAAATTAACGTAGGAACAGGAATTACGGTGAAAAGAACTAATTTAGTAATATGCCACAATGATAAATTAAGACATTGATTAAAACACTATAGTTTACCGACTTTGTTCTTTTCCATTTACTTTGACACTTATCGTGGATTCCGCCGCATAAGAAATAGAAAGTCGCGTATTGACAGTTTCTGTAGCAAGTAATAAACGTACGGTTAAAATTTTAGAATGCATTTTCTTAATATTATAACTTTTGAAATTATCTTTTTGTTGACTATCTAGACATATATATGGCTGTTGGAGATTCATTAATTTCTTCTGATTATCTAGTTTAGTATATTTTGATGTAACCGTATTTACCTTCAACATGGATCGTGTCCTCATCGCCATTTATAAAACTACAAGGGCAATAACCTTGATCTGTTAGACTCTAGTAATCATAACAAAATATTACGATCGAATTTGCAATTACGTTATGTTATACTTGTGCAGCGATAATGCTGTTGTGCCTTTCCATTTTTTTTTTATATTACTTACCTTTGCTGGTTGACAGCAGCAGTAAACTGCCAAAATGATTAACGTTACTCCGCTGACAACAATTTCTAATGCTCCAGCAGCGAAAACAGCGTAAGAATACCAGGTAATAAATCGTCTATTGCTTCCTGTCTGGATGATTATAAATGCTGCCACCGGAATGAAACTAACGAAGAAGCTTAGCAAGGTAAAGACAAAGTACCCTCGCAGCTATAAGGAAAGGTTTTAGATTTTAAGACTTAATTGTCCACAGTATTTTAACTTCTTAGACATTTAAGCAACAACATCTCAAGAAGCAAATCCTTTGATATAAAAAAAATTCACGATAGTATTCATTAAAAATGAAAGCTTCCTAAGTTGGATTTCATTACCAAATTAATCGTAGCCCGGTTTCGATTCAAGAAGCAACCAAAAGTACCAGCGAATGCATACTAAAATAGAATATCTATCATTAGTACTGTACGACTACTTATTGATCAATTTTTAATAGATATGAGCTATCTTTTGTCGTATCTTAATCGGTATTGGATAAGTATACTAAAAAACTTCCAATTTTATCACACACATTTTAGCTACTATTACGGTTTATTAGGATAAAAGCTTAATCATGAAAGCACTAGAATCACGAAATTAGTTAAAATATCCAATAATGCTAACTAACTATAATCGGATTATGTTTTACTAACAAAAACGCCAATTCAAAATCCCACTCCAGAAGTAAAAGTAAGGTTGTAATGAATGTAGCGCTCGTTAAGACTGAAACCGACCATGGCTGTTATGGCAAAGCCAGCTAATAATTGATATAAACTGAGGATAAAGTATAAGGTGTGTAATATCGGTGGAAATGCTTGTAGTTGAGGTTCAAATTCATAAGTATCGACAAGGCATTCGTTATTTTCTTTCGAATCTTGGCTTTCAGTCACGGCTAGAACCAATTCTCTCATTTTTTGTTGTTGTGGATGCCGTCATTGATGTAGAACAGAGTTAATAAAAATTAGTTATTCATAATATCCTGTTATATAGTCATGATACGCCTCATCTATTTCTCACTATTACTATATAATACCTTACTATATTGTCGATCCATATATAACCTCAATAAGGGACCGTTATGATCAATAAGCATTTGCTTCTATATATTATAAAATACCATTGTTTCGATGTTTCAATAACATTTATATTTCGAACTAATGGTTATATTTGATACTAGCTTCGTTCTAATTTTGGAGATTCTGAGTCAAGACAATGCTATAAAGCACTATTATTAAAAAGTATTATTGCAATAAAGATACAATTGAAATTGCTATTGTCAACGTAACATTAGATAGACCTTTGCTTCTAGCTTAAGTTTTAAATTATTCATGATCATACACAATGCAGTGTTTGAAATCCAACAGTTTGCAAAATGACCGATTTCGCATGCGGTCACGTTCATATAGACAATTAAAACATCATTTACATGATGAATTATTATAATTCTAAAAATCATGCATGTACGTACAATATTTTTGGCCGAACAGTCTTTGAAGCTAGAATAAATATGGCAAGAGATTTATATAAAGAGAGAAATTTAATATTTAGCTTTGAAGGAGTTGTACTACGGCCCTTTTATTACTTTGAATGAATCTTTGATTTCGTTCTAGTCTTCTGTTAATAAACTTTCAATATCCAAAATGGAAGAGTAATGCCAGAATTTGATCCATAGAAATAATGTACGATCCCCGAGCTGAAAACCCGTAAATAAAGTATTAAGAATCAATTAAACATTCAAGTAAAAGTTCATATTGATGCATCTGTTTTTAAAGTATCACATATCCACTAGGTAATCAACAGATTTATCTAGTCTAAGGTTTTAAATTAGAATTCTCAATAATCGATAAGAAGGAAATAACTCATTTTATTAATATATAGCTAAATCAATTATTAGTAAAATCAATATAAGAAGCAACATGTAATCTCTAAAGTATCAAAATTCTTCATTGTTATAAACTATTACAACAAAATTAAAATCGTAACGTAAACATACATAGTAAGTTAGAAATCTCAGTAAAATGATCTGAAATAGCAATAAGTACTTACAAAATTGAAATCATCGCTTCAGTTGCAGTTTACTATGCAGTTGCTTTTTAAAGTGATTTTTTTGTCTTGCCTTGAAAAGTAATTGTCTATGTTAAGCAATTTAAGCTTGAAAGTGAAGTATGCTATCTTTTATTACTACAAATATATGATTGTTTCAGCCGTAAATAAACTGGAATAAGGTGAATAAATACGATTTGACAGTATACAGAAAGATGATAAATCAGTGCTACTAAAGATATATCATAGTTATTCCAATTACATATGAAGATTCGAAAAAGTTTGCTTTAATTAAAAATATATAAATTTACTGTTACTAAGTTAAACTTCTCTAATTTGTGTTAAATTTATTATTTTAATCGTAAATAAACTCTTATTTTTAGTCATAACAACAGCTTTAACTAATAAAAGCCTGAACTTATAAGAATAAATCTCCCTTTACGACGGTCAAATTAGCTATATGCATGTGGAAAATTTTATTTTTTTCGAAATTAAATAGCAATTCTCCTAATTTTAATTCTCCTTTAAGTTTATTTTAGTAAAACAATACCCTACTGTTATACTCGTATTCCTACTATTATCTTCTACTCTTTTTTAAATTTTGCTCTATTGTATAATAGTTCAGTAGATACAACTTCATTTATCCTAACATAGCGAAAGTTTCATGGCTAAACTAGTATTAACTACTGTGATGGTGGGTTCAATATCTCAGAGGATTGAGATTTAGTCGCCATTTACAATTATTACAACAAAGGGTTCATAAAAGTAATGCTTTATTGTAGGTTAGTAATGTGAAGTACATTGAGGTAGTTACGGTAGATCAGCGTGCAAGCTGTCGTGAGTAACGAGTAGAAGTATTAGACTGTGAGAGACTAACTAGAAGACTAACTGAGAGGCTAACGAACTCTGAGGTAGAAATCGCCGGTATTTATAGTTTTAAAGATAGAGCACATGTAGAGAATAGGATTGTGGAATTAGATACAACATATACCATAACAGGTTACAAAATAGCAGATGATTGTAGAAAACAGCGAGTACCGTAATAACTAAATACAGTAGTCTATATATGAATGTAGAGTAAGCGGACTGTAGATCTGTCTAAATATAAGAGCAATACAACATGTCTATATTTAAGAGTAGAACATGGTTGCAGTATATTCTAAATACACTACAACTACTATTAATAACATAAATTTATATGAAATCTTTCAAATCATTCCATTAATTTTCTACATTTTATTTAGCATCAATGTGTTATTGAGTAACATTATTGCCCTTTCTATCTCTAACAGGGAAATGTTAGATTCTGTCAACGTTGTTCAATCATAACTACTTGAGCGGCATCTATCATAAATAAGCCTCTTACAGTGAGATTTCAATTAAAAGGTTTGAAATAGAATATAATGCAGGTGATATCATTCACACCGACAAATTATGAAAACAATTCATAAATTGAATTGCAGGCATTTCATTAATTCTTCAATAATATAATTATAATTAAGTGAAGAGAGCCTCATGATCCTCATAGTAGTTTACTCTGTAAGACATTACCGAGGGTTTCGTTTGTTGGATGATTTTAGTTGTAATACTTTACCATAGTGTTTCGATGGTCTAAGACATAGTATTCCCTTCGTTATAAGTATTGCTTTATTTGACATTTACCAATGATATTTTGTGGGAAGAATATGAAATACAGTATACAAATGTCGATTAACTCTAGATTACGTTAATTTGGTTCCAAGCAACAAATTCTAGTACGAAAAATTTTAAATACCATAGAAGACGATAGAATGATTTGCGGTGCCTACATTGGTATTTAAAACTGCAGGATACACTATTCATATATTTACACTTAAGAAGGTTCTTTTTCAGCAACATACTTTATTAATGCGGATTAATTAATAGAACTCTGTGTTCGATTTAGCCATTGGATATTAAATTTGGAACCTCAGTCTATAACTAGAATTAGTAGCATGAAAAATTTTCTGATGTTAGAGCATTAGAGATTGAATATGTTATCGCCACATCGCTGTTCCTAAATAGTTGAACATTAATTAGAGTGAAGTTGTAAAGCGGAAAATTGTACAGTAAATGCTAAATATGAGAAATCGTTAGCATCCTAATCAATTACAGCAAGCTATGATATTATATCGGAGCAATTCAGAAGATCGCGCAGGAAAGTTATTTAACATTTATAACCTATCGTGCATACATTCTTACTGGGATTATATAATCGAAATTATTGCTAGAGCAGAAGAATGTCTGAAATGCAAAAATTTACAGTCGGACCATTTTAAAACTGCAATACAGGTAATAGTAATGATCTAACTTGATCACGTTATATAATCTTATAACAACATTAACATGAATAAATAGGCATGATATTGGCTATGGTATATACACTAGCGAACTGAGTTTGGGCTTGTGCTTTAATGAAGTATGCTTATTTTGCATTTTCTACCGTAATAGAGTTCGGTTAAAGGTAGTACAATATTTTCCGAAATATAACTAATATCTACTAGATCTTTGCTTGTAATAGCTAAACCTATATTTTTAACAGTGCAATGAAAGGAAAGGCAATGATTCCCTTAAGCGACAGATATTACATTGATATTTCAATTCATATATGATATGTAACATCAAGTAGGTTAATGGCAAAGCTATTCCTAGAATAAAAGCTAAATAATAGCCACACTTCACTATATCGATTAAAGAGGTTAAGATTACCGTCAATAGCATTAAGAATTATTCTACTTCTCAATGTCAGATTTATTAAAACTAGGCTTATCTTAATATCTCAGTGTAATTATGCATTCTATTTCAGGTGTATTTAACTGTCGGCCGTAGATTTAGTAGCCATACACTGTCTTAAATGCTAATCGCACTGAGAGTTAATACCTTTAAATGATTAAAATTACAGTTTGCTAAAGTTTTATAGCATCTTTTGGTATTTATAACTTACGCTAACAATAATAATGATAATAGCTTATTTCCTAACCGATATAAGCTGCCAAAAAGGCAATCAACTTATAAACCTGAATTTATGCAAATTGGATCATCTTTTCAACCAAGATACTTAATATTATACCGGCTGACATACCAGCAAATAGACTTAAGATACATAAATAACCTGTTGTTTCGCGATATACTTGAGATACACAAGTTGGGGCATATGAAATAATAGATGTATTAATGTGACCGGTAGAAATTCCAAGTACCATGACTAGGACAAATAAAATCCATTCCTGTCCTTCGTTGCTTAATTTATTCGGTGGTATACATGTAGCAATACCTGCTATAACGGCAAATCTTACTAATAAACCGATCCAGGCAATTCGTGTAGAATATGGTAAGGTTGTGGCTAATGGTCCACGACCTACAGTATCTGATAAACTGTAGACTAAATAGAGAACCAGAAATGTCCAACCTCCGCCAATGAAATCTCTAGCAAGAACGAATATGGTTGGTATAATCATATAGTCTTGTGCTGTAATCAAAAATAATAAGATACAATGATTGAGTATTTGAGGTTGTCGTAGGGTAGTACAGGCATCGGATAAGAATCGGCAACACTGAAATCGATGACGCACGCTAACATCTTCGATCTCATGCAATGCATGCATGGCTGATAGACTGCTGTAGTGGCGATAAGTTGATTGTCGAGATACACAGAAATAGACTAATACAGCAAGTAATAGAAGGCCCGAGCTAATGCCAAAATAACAGTAGCTTGCACCACGTGGATCATGACCAGCGACTTTGACTAACATTCGAATTACAGCCATGACTACCGCACCTATTCCAGAACCAAACTATTGGTTCAATGTAAATATTCAGTTAAAATTGCTTTGCACGGTAATAATTTAAACAATCGAAAATCTTATTACATCAAGTTGAATATTTATACTTGCCATTAATCCTTGCATAAACACTGGAGGAAAGCTATAGCTTGCTAATGCATAAGCATTGGATCGGACAATTGCGTTGGCTATTCCTGCAGTTAATAATACTATGTAAACGGACACAATATGAATACCTGTACATGCACTACCACACAAATGAAATTGATCGATAATTGGTAAAATGATCAAGCAAATAGCTAGAATAACAAATCCGCCAAAGAGTTTCCTTGAAAAGTTGCATGTCCTTAGAAATAGTAATGACGCTATATTACCGAGTAGTCGAGATGATAAATAGGCCATTTCCAAACCAATATCGCTCTTACTGGTATGTAGAACATCTTTTTTAAAGTAATTTGTTGCCGAGAAGAAGGCATAAGTAGGGAATGCAACTGCAATACCAATAACTATGAATTGAATATAAGCTCCTATATTACTTTTATTTAAGGTTTCATACGGTTTCATGCTAGCCCAAGGCGAATGTTTAGCTGCAACAGGTGCTGCTGCAATATAAGTTTCGTCGATTGAGGGACGATGTCCCCTTCGAACGAAATTACCGTCTAGTAATTTTTCAACTTCAGTAGTCATCTTTTAGTTATGGTACTCCTAGCTTACAGAATACCGTCGCTGTCTGATTACAGATTTGATTAATTATTATCAGATTATCGTAGAATAGGAATAGAAATATTTATTTAATACGAATTCTTTGCCGAGAATGAGTCAAGTGCAAAATTTTACAGCTTGGGATTATATTTATTATCAGAGGTGACTGCTTCCGTATTAAACTTTTCATTAAGCAAGGTTCACATCATTTTGCAGTTCCTTCAAAATTGAAAGGATTAGCAACTTTAGGATTGATTGACATAAAATATTAACATTAAGAAATAAAATTCTTTCATCTTCATGAAGCTGTTTAATCGATACATCACGGTACCATTAGCAATTACATTTGATTCGAAAATGCTAAAACATAACGGGAAATTGTTTTTCCGAACGATATCTTTATCTACATGGCATCGACTGATGGTTTTATTCTTTAGCAGATAAATACGTAGTAAATATTGTATATAATGAAAATTTATCATGAGATAATTCTAGGTATTAACTCAACATTTATTAGCTAATTCGGACGGATAAACTTAAATGCAAAGCGGAAAGGAGATAAGTAACTTACATTTTCATGTTTCGTTTAAGTTCATTTAAAGTTAAAAATTTTAAGAGTTTTTTTTATGAATGAATAATAGCGTGACTGTTGCTTTTGAAGATTGTATTGTAATCTTGCTATATTACCGAATTTGAGTAATGACGCTATAACGTTCAAGAGCGATTTTCATTTAAAAATTAGCGATTCATTTTATAACTTACGGTAAGTTGATAATGAATTTGCTTTAATCCGTCAACTTTTGCTAGGTATCAGTAACTTAATTCGGAAATTAATGTACGAAAGGTAGCGCAAGGTCAGTATGGTATCTTGAACTATTGTCTTAAAATTCCTTAAGGAACCCGATGCTATACATCTACTTGAAGACATAATAAGGTAGCATATGGTGCATATTTAAATGCTGTGGCAATGATATTTAAAGTATTACTTTTATTATACTTAACATCATGCAACTTGCAACTCCACACTATTGCTGTAAGCGCTCGTATCTGTCTCAATTTTTTATAGCTAATAGTGTAAAATTTTGACTATGACTTTCCTTCATTTCGCTTAGATGAATGGGCTAGTACCATAACATATTATGGGACATTGATTACAATTGCAAATTGCGAGATAGAAATCTGGTTATCGATTTAAATAATGCACCGATAACGAATATCACAATTTCGGTTACCTTCATTACATAACTATTATAGAAAACGAAATATATAAATTGAAGCATGAAAAATTAAAAGTTCTGCATTATACACATATTTCACAATAATATATCTCCATGGATCAATAATATTTTCAAGATGCAATATGAGATGTGAAAAACCACTAAATATGTCTTTAGTCAGTCTTTTCTTCCTTAACCACTTTTATGGACCTTTTTAATTCGGCTCGCTTTACGCGAATAAGCAAAGAACCAGACGTATATAACCAAACGCACTGAGAGTATAAGTTAATATAATACATCGAATTACGATATTGCTAAATGGATTTTAGTGCTAGATTACTTAATAAATAACAGAAGGATTGTAATTCTACTTACCACTATAATTAAGCAGTTTATCAACGCAGGAGCGGAAAATACAATAGATATGAATAAGCCTTGCGAATCGAAGTACTGTTGACTAGCAAATGATCTAAAGTCAGAGAAGCATTCATTAGAAAAACTGATCTATTTATTAAATGCGTTGAATATAAATTCAATTCAGTTACAGTATTGATTTATCAATTATGTGCTAAAGTATTATTAAACTGTGTGAGTGAAATAATCTCACCTCCAATTTTGAGCAGCGTATTCATTTACGAATTGAGTAGACCAAGTCATCAGTACTAAAGCGTTATGAATAGCATAAAAACATCGAATGAATGAATAAGAAATAACATACCAATGCGTAGGCCGCATATGGACTGGGGATATTGAACATCACTATAAAAGCTGTGAGTGTGTCTCATAGTGAAGTTTCAATCGGGAGCTTGTTTAAGAGAGCAACTGCACTTTATGTTAATGAAAGAAATGCACGTTGGTGACCTTGTCCGTATTTATCATCCTTTCACTTATTATAGTTCTACGTATATCGTGCATACGGCGCAATGACAACAATATGTAATTTACAATGCAGCATACGTACACGGACGTACGTTTAGTCTAGGTATTTGGCACAAAGTAATTTGATCAACTTTATTTGAAAACTACTTTAGAGCTAGTCAATGTTAGGGTTATTTGTCCTTTTTATTTTATAGTACTGTATATCTAAATATACAATAAGCATATTTACTTACATAGAGCTAGAAACAATATTGTTTGTAGATTTGTTCGATGTCCACTTGATAAGATAAATAGTAAGCATATGACATGGAAGGCTACCAGACCTAGCAACCATCTTTCAGTCCAGTCAATCTGGAATTCACGTGAATTCATTATATTAAAATTTATACCTGGTATTGCGAAGATGTATTGACCCCAAAATACTCGTCCTTATTAACGTTTGAAGTCTTATCTATTCTTGCTATTATAACCACCAGCCAATGAAGATTGTATACTACAGTTAGTTATCCTACATTGATATCCTTACTGCTTTAGATAGCAACTATCAATGCTAATAACGACGACAGTACTGCTTTATATTGAAGTCTATCCCTTTCAGCTATACTTGCTTAACAAACACGTCAATTGTCTAACTAGTTTAATTTTGTATCATGTAATCCAGTTACGCAACATGGAAAGTCATGTTTACCTTACCGTTAAAATCAATTTCCAAATGCTATCTATAACTTGGCCATTTTCTAAGGCCAATATTGTTTCTATATCTGCAGCAGCATCGTTATTCGTTTTCGCCATTGCTTGTTGAGTCAATTAGTTGGCGTTCAATTATATATGATAACCAAATTTACAAGTATCGATGAATACAATCTCACCAGTTAGGCGATCACTTGCAATTGCGATTGACGTACGAAGCAATCAGTCCAGTATATTATGTGTACTACAGTACTGTACAGTTTACAATTTTCTGTAATATACAAGGAAGAAACTAAATGCAAAGGCTTTTGGAAGCACCTCTAATATCCAATTTACAAGATCGATCCTACAAAGGCCGTTGTTATTGATAAGAACGCAGTCTTGCCGTTGCAAACTTACTTTACATCATTGCCAAGCATCCATCCATTGATCGATTGTAATGCAGTAGGAGTATGCGGTGATGTTGTGAACTGCAATCAATGATCGATCATCTTGGTATAATCGTATTAAGAGATTTCTCATTTTTCGAATTCTCAAGTACTGTAGATCCACGTCACCGATGCTGTACAGCACAGTACTGTACTGTACAGTACAGTACACTGTGCAGTACGGTACTGTGGAGTCTAGACTGTACACTGTACTGTCGTACAGTACAGTACAGTACGAGAGACTTCCAAGGCTTACAGTACAGCACACTGTTCACAGTACTGTACAATACAAACTAGAAGAGAAGAGTGACAACGCTTTATAATGTACTGCACTACGAGTAATTTCGAGTACTGTACATTGTACAAGTACTGTAGTGAAAAGCCTGTTCGCTCGCAAGTGAACTGCAATCAATGATAGACTTGATAGTTATGGTATAATCGTATTAAGCGATTTCTCATTTTTCGAATTCGACTGTACTGTACTGTAGATTCACGTCACCGGTACTGTACACTGTGCAGTACACTGTTCAGTACTGTACACTACGAGGGACTTCTAAGGCTTATAGTACCGTACAGCACAGTACAGTATTAGTCTTAGGTAGAAGTCCTTGACTGTACAGTATGGGCCTACTGTACAGTGTACAGTACACTACAGTACAGTACAGTCAAACCCTAAAAAACTGTACTGTACTGTACACTGTACAATGTACAGTACTGTACAATCTACACGTACAGTATCATCATATATGAATTAATTGGCGTGTAATTAATTTGTTTAACCTTTATTTCATGCTATGTCCTTGCTCTACCAACTGATATCGATGCCATCATAACGCCAAGTACACCATATGTGAATTAATTGGCGTGTAATTAATTTGTTTATCCTTCATTTCATGCTATGTCCTTGCTCTACCAACTGATATAGATGCCAAAATAACGCAAAGTACATCATATATGAATTAATTGGCGTGTAATTAATTTGTTTATCCTTCATTTCATGCTATTTCCTTGCTCTACCAACTGATATAGATGCCATAATAACGCAAAGTGCATCATATATGAATTAATTGGCGTGTAATTAATTTGTTTATCCTTCATTTCATATGTTATGTCCTTGCTCTACCAACTCATATGGATACCATGATAACGCAAAGTACAATTTATTTATCGTGCAGGCGTATACGTACGTCTATGTTGTTATTTGTTAGCTATGCTCGTATTTAATACTTTTTCCCGAATCGTGCTGTTACAGTAATAAAAATGAAACTATCGTAAAGCCAATTAGATACGGACGTCTACAACACTAGTATTACAACTTGCTACATTATGTACATGAGGACGAAGAAGTGCATAGTACATACTAGACCCATTTATATCCATTGGTCATCGCCTATTAGTGTGTAAACCTTAACTGACTTCATATTGAATGCCCCATGATTTTCGTAAAGCAATTTCTCGCTGACGCCTGTGGTCCTTAGTTTTCACGAATTTTCAACACAATGCCATTCATTTACTGATATAGACTTATAATAATCTTCTATAGATTATGTATTAAGTTATGGTCTTTAGTTTTCATGAATTTTCAACTTAATGCCATCCATTTACTTCTATAGACTTATAATAATCTTCTATAGATTATATATTAAGTTATAAGGTAAGACATGGAAGGAAGTGATAATATTATATCCCTAATAATATTATTAGTGCTATCAAAATTCATGCATATTCGAATATACATTATCATTGTGGTGGTAGCAAAGTTAATTGCAATCTTCATTTATACTAGTATGTATCACAACGAGGCTTTCATAAAATGAACTAATCAATAAATGGTTTAGTAGGAATTAATTAACATAAGAATAACAACAACGTCAATGCAAAGATATATTTTAGACGTAGACAGCATTGGCAATGCGTTGTCATGGGAATAAATTAACAAATTCTCCATTTTCTTTAGGACAAGAGTCGTTTATCTTTGTCTTTCTGAATAATTAACAAACACAATAGGCGGATAGCGCATGTCCTCATATTCATCTTATAGAGCTATTTTAAGCTATACTCAATGCTATAATTTATATATGCTACTGTCTATGTCATCAAAGAATAGGGCATTGGAAATGTTGCTTTAGCAATAGCTAATATCATAAATACAGTCTGTTCAAAGACACATTAGTTAGTTCAAATAAGATCACAGGGCGCAACGATAGTTTCTATTTGAAATCTCTGAAAAAATATAACTCATTAGGGTTATCAATATTAAGCCAGAATGGCTACAGGGTTGCAAACACGTACGAAAAAGTCACCAATCGATTTAAACAATCCACTAGCATTGCCTTCGGAATGTCGCTCGCCTCTTTTAATTTTAAGTATTGGGCAAACAACCATTGGTATAGCATCATTTCTACTAGGAATCATTGGTTTTTTACTCCCAAACAATCAGCTAAATGGCGCAATCGTTCTTGGAGTCAATATATGGGCAGGATTGATTGTACGTAGAATCCAAAAATTTTAGATGATGTAATCATCGATATTGACAAAAGTTTATGCAATACAGTAGTGAGTTTATAAAAATCTATTAAATGGTAAGCGTAATGACAAAAGTGTTTATGATGGGAATAGTTCCATCACGGACTTTTCCACGGTAAGAAAGATAGTGAATACGATATAAAAAATCATATTAGTCTATCAGTTGAATTGATCAACGCTCGTCAAGTCATTTCTTTACATTTTGAGCTTATACTCTAAAGTTATTGCGTTTATGTAAAACTCGGATATTCGTAAAACGTTGGTCTAATGATTATTGAAATACGTTAGTATACTTTCTGTAATGATACCAATCATACTATTACCTGCCGGGAATAGTTTATTCTTATTACTTTCTCTGCAATTCAATCGTTAGTGCACTTTAAACTCGAATTGATATTAAAAAGTCAACAACGAATTATGTTCCGATCATATAAATTTATGACATGTCTTCCTATAATACTAATTATAAACTCGTAAATTAGATGAACGCTACACAGTCAACGATATAGTATCTTACTGTCATATAGTGTAGTTGTATAATGTCTCTTCCTGTAATACTAATTATCTATAATCGTAAATTTGTAGATTCGGTGAACTCTATAATGTTATTAAGTTTGGCATTAATTTATTTTCACTCACTCAATATTTATTTCTACCTAATTTTTATCGACGATAAATTTTGCCTGTAGCTGTTTCTGGGCTAGATTTGTAGTGGGCTATTTCATAATATGCTCAATCGATTTACTAGTACTATAGCTACGATAAACTTATTGATGAGGTAACCGTTAATTACATTGGGTTAAACTTAATAATTTCACTAGGACGAACTTTATCAATTACCATTAAATCACTTAACCATTTTATTTTCATCTTTTCCTCGATCAAATTTATAGTACATGTTAACTGGTGCAACTGGCCTTAGCCTTCATAGCAAGCATCAAAGTTACATGGTGAGCCATTAACGGTTAAAGGAATTTATATATCCACCTTAAACCGGATACATATTGATTTGAAGTAAAATAAGAGGATCAAAAATTGACAATACTGAAAAATTTTATTTTGTTTCTGTTTGTATCTTTTGTTGAAGATTTGAAATAATTTTCTTTATTTCGTTCTTTAGACACATTTATTTTTTTCCTTTTCTATGCTGAGTGTGGCTCTGACATTTGTGCACTTTTTTATCTTCCTGGGATTTTCCTTGATTAATGATCGTGCTATTGATACAAATTGGTTAAGTATCACAAGCGGAGTTCTGGCAGGTTTAGAACTTATATTTAGCTTGATAAGCATGGCATTACTAGGCAATTTCGTTTATTGTCGACCAAATTATACGGTAATTTAATAGCAGTACGACTTCATCGTTTTAATTTGACTTATTCCTTAATAATGTTTACAAAATTAGATTTTTTAAAAACCGTCTCATTACTTTACCGCATCATTAGGCAATCGGATTCGTTGATATAGCAAATATTCAAACGGAAAAGAAAGCTATCCAATATGTTTCACAAACGACGTATCCTCGACAATCAGGTATTAAATATTGGCAACAACAAAGGCCATGTACAGTTGTAATACAGCTTGGCCACTATTTTGAATGAATAATCATACCTTTGTTAGCGATCACAATTTATAAGCTTATAAAATTTTGATATTTTGTTATAGATTTCTTACATGGAAAGAAGTTACCTGTTCATGAGGCTCTACCGAATTCGTCAATTCCCTAAAACAGATACTGAATTATAGGGGATATGAATAACCAAATAAGGGCCTTATAAATTAGAATAAACTCGACGAAAGTCTATGGATAGACTTCATTATTTCAAAGACAAAAATGATTACCGCAAGTATCATTGGCAATTTGAAAGAGAATTAAAGGAAAATTAGCATAATTTCAGGAGAAATGAATAAATAATTGGATTCTATACCGTGAGTTAGACTTGTAGCATCGATGTTGATAAGCCATACTTCTGAAATATGATGTTTTATAAAGACTTCATAAACTGTTATGCCTACTTTCGTTTAGCTAGTAAGGCATTTTTACTACGAAGTAATGGTAACATATTGCAGCCATGCAATTTTAGATACTTATCAGGATATTAACTTTGTTTTCGGAATTTAAAAAAGTGGATGCTATCCATTCAATATGAACATTAAAATTGGGCAACGTATTATTCTGTATCTGCATTAAAGTTGTTATTCTTAATGTTATAAATTTCATAAGCAATCTCCTGCTGAAATTTTACTGGAATCTAAATGATACTAGCGAACATAGGATCACGCTACGTATTAAAGAATTTCCTGGAGAACTAAATTTAAAGAGTTTTATCAAAATATAATAAATGTTACACTATGGGATTATATAATGATTCATTGTTCGACAAAATCGAAAAAATTAATTTACAGTTTTACTTTACATTTTGAATATAATGGCTTTTGCTATGCGCTATGTATAAGTTTTGAATTTCTGTTTCATTTGTATGATACGAACAGAATATGAGTCTACTACAATACTGCTTAAGTTTAAAAACTAATTGTAAATATGCTTAGTAACAAAGAATATGGAAATATAGGGAATTTTTTTATCCATCATATTTGTATACCGCAATTAAAGCGGTATTATTTTCTAGTTTATCATTACTCAACATAATAAATTCAGTACTTTAACCTACATGTTTCATCATTATGATTTTTTTTAATGATTTCAATTTAAAATTTACACTTCTGCCATAGTTCCCTTAAATTGATCAATGCTTGTATGATATCAGGTAATACTTAATCAAAATTATCGGATATGTGAGATTTTATCAGTGAATATTAATAAAATTTGGCTTTAACCATCGCACTTGTAGCGCACTCATTCTAATTAAGGATCCTATATTTAAATAGCTATCAGCATCAAGTTTTTTAGCAAGAAATAACTAAGCGTTATTTTTCGTTATGTATCATACCGGAAATTACTTTGAAACTATGAATTTAATGATGTATCTTAGTATACGGGGACTGGAGTAGTAAAATCAAAAGCGCATTGGTAAAGTCTCTATGCATTATTATAATTTATTCAGAATATTATGATATCTATCAGATAGCTATTATTCAGTATGAAGAGTTACTATACCTTAGGCTTCAATTATTTTCACGTTGATTTCGTAGGATAATTGTAACGATTTATGATTGTATACTACGTTTAATTATTAACATGCTTGCGCATTTGCTCATGCTACGGAGAAGAATAGGCAAGGATTTATCTGCCAAGATATAAGATAGAAACGAATCTTTGACAAAAGATAACCTCTACGGCGGCCTTAAGCTACTCATATGTTATCTATGGGCATTGAATAATAGACTAAAGCGATACAGATACCGTCTTCTTCACTTTCTGTCCTGTATCAATGGTACTACCAATACTATTAAGATTTTTAAATATTTAAATAAATTATTGTAATATTTAAAGTTCTATAAGATCGTTCAGCTTTGCATGTAGGTCAGCGACAGCTATGATAATCTGAGGGTAGTAAGTGACTGAAAGAAAACTAAGAGAAGAATAACAGTAGAGTGTATTTGTTTTAAAGAGTTTGTTAAAGCCATGGTTACGCGTGTTAGAAAACCAGATCAACACATATAGGTCTGCTAGCGACCGAGAGAATATCAATCAGAAAATAACTGCTTTTGAGGTGATTAAATATTAATATCAATGCATAGTATAATGGGTTTAAACCAAATTACACTTTACGTAATTGCGATATGCAGTACTGTATGACTAGATCAAGTTAAAATGTGATATATATCTAAGATAAAACGCTACTTACTGCCGCTAGACTACGTGAATAAGTAAACTCTACGCCATCAAACCATGACTTCTAGAATTGGCATTATAATAGACAAGTAGACCTATTTATTCCTAGCGGAACACTTTAAGGTATCTTGAAAGTTCAATAACTTTCTTGATTTTAAATGCTGAATTATATATTCTATTTGACCTTTGAAATAAATACTTGTTGTAAATAAATTATTGATATAAAAGAAATCTGGTACTCATGAGAATTTAGTAAAATAAAAAGTATTTAACTTTCATAGTAAGAAGGCAGTGGAATTATAATCAGAGAATTAATGGAACATTATAGTTGGAGAGCTAATTTAACGACAAAGTTAAAAAGAGTATAACAATATTTACTAAGTTTGATTATATGCAAATCAAGATTTAAGATCAAATCTTGTTTCAATAGCCTACACAAGATCATTGTATTAAGCCCATCATATGAATGATCTATGAAAATCATTGTTATTAAAGGGTCTGCAGTACTGATAGAGATTAATGAACAATAAAATAACGGGATCATAACTGACTATTTTACATAATTAGAATAAGTACAGCCTAGGTATAGACAATTATTGTCATGACCACATTGACTCTTATGCATTTACTGACATTAATAGTTAGCAGAATAAAATATACGCGGATTTCTTACCTTTCCAAGTCACAATAGGCCTACAGCACTTTAACTGCTGACAGCAGATGATATTATATTATTTTAGGGATTGGTATGCAGTGCTCAAGTCAGCATCCAGTATTTTAGGAGAGAAAATAATAGACATCTGAGCCGAATTAAGAGAATATAATCCTACATTTACTTCACTTTTTAAGCCCACATAAAATTAAATATTTGGACATCGTGCATTTAATATAGGTTCGTAATATCATCAGCAATAGCGTATATATTTCGTGCCGATAAAGTTATTTTATATTATAACTAGTGTTAATCCCATTCTATGAAAGGATATACTGGGCTAGTAAAGTTCAATAGATATACAGTACTTGATAGGGTTATATTAGATAAAAATGTGTAGCCCGAAACAGGATAATTAATGACAAATAATATTGAAATCTTTTGCTATTTGATCAAGGATCATATCATGCAGCATTAGTGCAATCTTTAGCATATGGCACTATACAAGTATATAAAGAAGCAGAAAAGTAAGGTGTATATTACATTATGTAGCATTCGATGTCCTTCTGTTTTAAGACATATTAGTAATTTAGATTATGTAAATTTAATATTAACAATTTTATATCAATTAATAGTGTTGCTTAATTTTATATTACAGCGTCATGCATATCTTAATATTATTAAAGTAATTCTTAAGCCCATAGAAAAGGATAGCAATAAACTGAATCTTATGATTGAATTATTGCCAAGGCTTAGAATTCATAGGCTTGAAATCAGTAATACCATCAACAAACGTACGAGCATTATTTTTTATATATTTGCTCTGTAGCAGAGGATACACGATGGTTTATATTCATTCCTATTTAATTCTATGAACGACAGTGCCTATGCTGCTATTTTTAGCTCATTATTGCTTATTCAAAGAATTGAAACAGTAATTATACGCTAGACCATGGAAATAATTATGGACTTCATCACAATCAAATAGTAGGCAACTTGGATTGTTGTTTTTAATCATAACAATGAAACAATTACCGTTATGTTTTGGGTTATTTTTCTTAAGACTATGGCGATCATCTCTTAGTAATGACGACATGAATGTCATAATGAAGGATTTGAATAGCTTTGATTTTGATTGTAATGTCTAGCAGGAGATAAAGAAAACTTTAATAATACTGTATTATAACTAATAGCGTCTCGATGTTCGTATTCCTCCTAATTGTCGAATCAAGCAAATATACTACAGTATGTGCTATGGATTTAACCAATTTTTTTAGGTACGAAGGAACTATAGCCTTCCCTGCTGCCCCTGTTATGCTTCAATCTTCATGATTCAAGTTTTTCTTGCAATATTCTATCAGATTGTCAAATAGTTATTAAGAGAATTATTTTATAATTACGCAGCCTAGATCGATTAAACTAATCAATTTCTGTTCATTCGATATGAAGTCGAAACCAAGTCGTTTCTGGAAGCAGTTTTGATTAGCAGCTAACAAATTAATTTATTTCTATCTCTCTCTGTTTTGAAATGGCGGGCTCTTCTGTTTCTATACCTCACCACGAAGATCTTATCGTGTCTCGACAAATCCAACGTCTTGCAGTTTACTTTGGGATTTGTCAATTGCTATCCGGCATCGTGTACGTTATTTGCAGTATTATTGCTATCAGCCAATTTCACGATGAAGCTATTCCACCAGTTAATTACGGTGTAAATTTTATATCAGGATTAATGGTAAATGCTATTATAAAATATTGTCACGATTAATGGCAAATTCTATTAGGAAATATTGCCACGATTATTGCTTAAATTTGCTATCATTACTGAACTTTAACAAAATATTGCCATTTTCTTTGATATTATCAACCCGTTGGCTACTTATTTTATAAAATGCGGTACTTAAACTTAAGGATTATTACTCTTTTCCATTTGATAAATGAGACTTTTTCTTAAAATATCAGCTTCTCAGCTTAATTATTGATTTAAATCCAAAGTTTTGGTACTTTAGAAACCTTGTCTTTATTCAATGTTGAATATCAATTAAGTAATGAATGCATCTTGATTCTATATTATTAACCAAAGTAAAGCTCATTTTATTTGTTATACCTAGTTCTGTTTAACAGGAATTTTGTCAGTAATATGCCTATATCAACCGGAATTACAATATGTAAGTTAATACACGTTTATTCTGGTGAGTTCATCTTCTTTAAACGGAGAGGTTACTTGAGTGAGTTATGACTTGTTTTTCACTTCTGCTTACGAAAACGATTTTCATTATCTAAGTAAGATAAATACTTACGTAGATGTTTCCATAATTTTGTCGATAGATCAAAGTCTTACTCGTATCTTCAATTATGAACATTGCTTTATGCACTGTTGTTATTATCCTGTCAACTAAAGCCATGCTTTATCGTGGATATACAGAAATAACTTGGTACAGCGTAACATTAACCTTTTCAGGTTTCATTAGTATATTTTTCTGCCTGGCCACGACAATTGCTTCCGCTATCAGCGTCTTCAAGCAGCCGCAACTTAGTAAAAGACAAGAAGTAATAATTATTAAAGCAAAGTATCAAATAATCTTAAGGCTTTATATTCATGAGCGGTGTATAAAGACTATCAAATGTGATTTGAGAGATCATAAATTAAACTTAGGACTTCACTTCAAGTTCATATCATAGATGGCCTACCATTCTATATTTACTTATCTGAGCAAAATTAAGAAAGAGAAATTGAAACAAAGCAGATTAATTTCTAATGGTTATTTTCATTTCCCTTTTCAGTCTTGTTCCGAAATAGCCAATATGGTAGTCAATAGACAGACTCAAAGCAATAAAGGTGGTAAGTTGTAGGTCCTTATTCTACAATATAATACAAATTTATTCTTAAATAGAATGAGAAATAGAGAGACAAGATCAATAACATCCCTTTAGCATTTGAACTTTCCTTGTACTCAATTACACTTATAGATAACTTCCCCATACAATTTCCAAAAAAGTAGATAAAATATGTGTGAGCTACCACAAATGAAGTAATCGTATTCCAGCTCTAAAATTCTTATTAACTTATTTTTAATACTGAGAAAATTTAGCGATGTTTTAAATATTAATCTATTATTTTATAATAGTAAAATAATTAGTATTAAAGTATATCTGTCACGACAATGAATCTTCATACAATAAATAAATATAAGAAGATAGTAGTTTATCACAGAATCAGAACTCTGCAATTAAGGGTAACAGTTGTTTTTAGTTTCGTTGTTTTCAAGGCCATTTGTCTTAAACAGAAAGCTTTATTCATATCTGTTTTCTTCGCTCTTAGTGACCTGAATATATTGCTTAAGTTTCATTTATATTTTGTATAGCCGTCGGTTTGACTTTCTGTCTTTCCACTATACTTGTCCATTTCATCGAGATCATGAAAGATGTCGCATAACTTTCACCTAGGATAATAAATCTTCGAAAACAAAACTTTACTTTTATTTAAAAAATTATTTCGATGATAGGATGGATACTTATGAGAATCATTTTATTTGAAAAAGTGCTAAAAAATGATAAACTGTTCTTGTTCGTCGTGAACGGATATAGGCATGTAGTTTACCATATTTGAGACTTAATGATTTTATTAATAATATATTGCTAACGTAGATAAGCTGATTGAAAAATAATTTCAGTATATTCGTAATACCATAAATAAAGGGTGATCTAGGAATAACATATCAAATAGCTAATTTAGGCTACATTAGAACTGTGGCATACCGCAAATTTGTTTCCTTTACATGATGGCTACAAAGAGTATAGTCAATATCTTAAAAATTTATTCAAAGATAAAAGATTTTTAAATCAACACCCATTTTCGATATGCTGCAATTGATTTTTACGAAAGAAATAAGTGAAAAGTAATCGGTAGTTTTTATTTTTCGTACCGCATAGATTTGGCAGTTGACATGCAAAATAAAAAGAAAGTAGCTGACTTCTTTTATCCGTAAGAATATATACAAAATATTAATCTCTAAGTTGAAGGTCGTAAGTATTAGTGAATATTTTACTGTAATAATGATATCCTCATTGATCATAGCATAAAATAAAGTAAAAATAATACATCAAATTGCTGATTCAGGTCACATTAGAACTCTAGCACATCATAAAGTAATTTTATTTATGATCAATGTCTTAAAAACTTGTTCCAAGTTAAAAAATTTTTAATCTATATTTATCTTGGACATACTACGGTTGATTTATATCAATTTGATCGTGCAGAATGGCATGATTGATTGGACATTCCTGCAGAATTATATGATTGATTTGTTGGTTATTTGTGAAGAATGGCACGATTGATTAGACATTCTAGCTGAATGTTTAATTCTTTAGAATGTCAGTAATAATGCCATCAAGGCAATAAATAAGATATCAACAGCAACATAATATTTGTACTGCATAAGCTCGATAATTAATATTCTAAATAAAAATAAAGCAATTGATTTCATTTTATCCATAAAGAATATGTACCGAATATTGCTCTCTAGGTTGATATTAGTATATATGTTACGGGCTCGTATTAGCAAATATTTTATTATAATAATGATCTTCAGAATGATCTTAACATAAAATAAAGTAAAGATATTTTGAACTAACAATATCGTAATAAATATAACCCAATTTTATACTTTAACAGTAAAAATCGATATTATGCGATAGGAGGTTGTAATATTTTCAGCTAATTGTAGTTTATAGTGGGTGAATAATAGGAAGAAACGATGCTTTGGTAATGATTCTAGTATAAGACTGTAAGCGAACCGACAGTAATAGCAGGAGACTATTACTCGGTCATTACAGAAGTTAAGCTCTTATATGCCGGTTATGAAACCCGTTATTGTATAATGTATGATATCATACCAGCTTTTTATCTCTTTATAATTTTGAGACACTCTTAAGTCGACTAAAGTAAATATAAGGCTAGTCAATTATGGTTTATCGATCGTGGCGCTAATTGCTTTTGAAAATCCTATTATTTTCGTGTACACTAAGCTAGATTTGATCCAGAACTGTCTACATGTGTATTTAGTGCTTTCTGCAGTTGTTACAGTGTGATACACTGTAATATCGAGATTATAGCAAAAACGCTTATGTTAGGATAATTTTGTAGATTTATCCTTTTATGAAGATGTCACTACCCTCACTTGTGGCAAAGGAAAGTAAAGAACTCTAGTGTAGTTACTTAAAACTTGGGCTATTTCTACCAGTACTTTCAGTTTCTATGAGAGAAGTATTTGAGAACTCGATTTCTCGGCTGATCTCCACAGACAACTGACTAATTATTACAATATTCTTCACGATATGAGTCTTGCCGTTTCTTGAGCAATTACTAACTTTATTCTACAAACACACGCGCTTAAATAGGTTTCTACAGTGAATTCCAATATTAGCAAGTGAGAGTTCATGCTTTACAAGTTACAGTAATTAGTATAATACCATTACTAAATACACATGTCGATATTCTCAGACTTAGATAGCTACAAGCTGTCAGGTGTTAAGACGCTTAACCTTCGTCCATATACGGCTCAATTTTTAGAGATTAACACACTTTATAAACCTACAGTAAATTAACTGCTAACAACTTCTATTTTTATCTCATTTCTACCATCTTATTATCAGCTACAAGCGCATTAAACATAGCACATAACCTTATCTTATCTATTCATAAGCATTCATTAATCAACAGTTACTTAATTAGTAACGGCGTACCGCGACAGAAGAGTTTCTAATTTAGATATTTGATATTCAAATACAGCACTAGTTTTTACGGTGATATATTCAGCCTATTGAAATTAGTAGTTCAACTAGGGAATCGAGAATAATCTTCTTATAATTCAAATCACTGTGATTGTAATTTACTTATGGTAGATTGTAGATTATCTTAGAAATGTTCCGTGATAAAACATGTGGTAATCTGACAATTTTGTATTAGTAATTCGATGTCTATGTTCGTAAATACTGTTGTCTTCATTAGGTAGCAGTAGATAAAATTAGTTTTTGATTCATAATATAATTATCAGGTTTCATCGTTAATATTACTAACTAGGACGTCTGTTCTATTGTAAAAGAGTATATAAATGCGATAAATCGTATAATAAAGTTAGTTCTTATGATTAGTGTTTAACGTAAGATACGAGGCGTCGAAGTCTTTTTGTAGTCTACTAGTAGGAAAAGTGTTCCTGAAAGAGTAGATACTGCTCTCTGATATGTGGTTCAGGGAATCGATTGATTGATCATGCGTTACGTTATCTTGTTGCAAAGCTGTTTTGTAACAATAGTATATACTAGAAATCTAAGTCGGTTTATATTATCTGATTACTGATTTTCCTATAATCTGCTCACAAAGCTCGTTAATTTTAATATTAGTAGGCATATAACGCCAGTTTGAGATCTAAAATCAATGATATTCGATAATATTTAGGATATACAGTGTCACCCGATAATAGCGCTTTTACTGATAGTAAAAATCTAGCTTTGTGACAACTTTAGCTATATTACTAACCTATTTACATATTTATTGCATAAATTCCTAAAATTTGGATAAGTTACCATTACTAATAGTCTTTTTAGCGTTAATAATCCGTAATTCAATGCAATACACACTACTTATATTTCCCATTGCCCTTAAACTGATATATTATTAATGAACGAAAAGTTAGATGCCTAGCTCATCATTGATACAACTTTAACATCGCAAGTTATGATTCTGTAAATCTAAGTCCAATCGGAAACTGTTTTCTTAGTTATATTATTACTCCCACCACACGATCAAAACCTGGATGAAACTTTCAAACTGAGTACGAACGCAATGGACGGCTTGATGACTTCAATAAAGCCCAGAAATGTCAAATCAGATTCAGTAAGCCCATATTATTGTAGCTTCTTTAATTTTAAATGCCATGTAATGTTAAGATTCGACTTAATCTTGTATTATACTAATAGATTTACTTAATTATCTATGCTTTCTTTATGCTTAGTCCTATTTCATAAAGATCTGAAGTATTGATTGGCACAAGTTTTGGTTTAAGGCTAGGCTTGACATATTACATATCATTAAAATGATGTGGCTATTACTGGATCTGTAAGTTGGATAAGAGGAAAATTTCGAAGCAAAATTTTGCAAAATTTGCTAAATTTCTAAATTTACTGATTTAGCCTTTAATGATGTCATGTCTGTTCTGCACATTTTCAATGTTTTCCATCTATGGTAGTTTTTGTTTCTTTATCATTTCAATTGATGTTATTACTCTTAACTTATATAGTCGTATGAATCTGCGGCGCGTATTATTAAATATATTTGGTTAGTAATAATTGATTATTACTTATCATATTTACTATCCTTAATGACACTTACTTTATTCATTGCCGCAGTATATCGAAACAGTGTAGATTTTACATGTAACAACCATATCAAATAGTCAAAGAAAAATATAAAGTCTAGATAATGTGTTATAGTTATGGTAAACTGTCCTAATGAATATTTTAAGATGAAAATTTAGCATCGGTTTATTATCATAAATATAAAGTTCTGAAGTTAAGAATTTCTATTTTCTAAGCATTTTCTAAATTCAGTAAAGTTGTATTCATTAATTAAATTGTGAGGGATTAAAACTATAATATATTATGCAACCGTCCCGTAACAAATATATTCGTATAGATTGGATTCTTCCTTCTCTACAATACTCAAAATTTTTACTAATCTTCAGTTAATGACAAACTATAAAAGTAGGATAGATCAAATTGCCTATTTTTAACTGGCAAACAATCCAATTTAAAAGATAGCTTGCTTTTCACTGATATAAATCTGCTTCTACAGTAAGGATTTAATTAATAAACTATATTTAATAAAGCAGCTTATAAAGATAATCACTTATTATCCTTACGAATATTTGTCTGCAAAAAATAGATCGACTCATTTTATTCCATTATTATCCATCGTTACTATACTTAAGGGCTGTAATCATGTCGATATCTGTTCTAGTTACGGTTACATATTACTGCTCTAAGAATATGTGGTTGATTTGTCTAAGCTTCAGATCGGAAATAAAGCAATTTTATTTCTATAGATCCATATAACTTAGCTAGGATGACCTCTGGTGATATCACTGAACGTGAAATTTTAAAATATGTAGAAAGCATCAACTTTATTAGACCTTTATATAAAAATAATCTCAGTATTTCTCTACTCTAGCCAAGTGCAACTGCTAGAATGACTTTTAGAAAGAAATAATGAATAACTTAAGTTGTCCACTTATATACTTTCCGTACCATTACAGTTAGCGATATTCCACTCTATTTTACAATTCTTCAGGTTATAATTAGTAACTTACACTGTGGCGGATCATTCATAATTTAATATATTAACAGCTACAGTAATTTTACAGATATCTTTTCGGACTAGTCATATCATGATACCCTAATATAGGAGTGACGTATCTATTGACCTTTGACATCAATCATGATTCAAAAGCTTACTGCTTCAGATTATTGGTGTTCGTTCTCTAGCACAAAACCTTCATCTAAAGTCTGTAGTTATGAGTTAACAAATAAGGCTTATGATAAATTTACAGAAGTAAGCTATCATACATCATAACAAGCATATGTAATAATCTACGATCTAATTCTATGTTTTATTATGCCACCGTTCTTAATTTAAGAGCACCTATTTTCTCATAAATTGTTAAAACGCTGATGCTCAATTGTAAATAAACGTATAGCTGATATTTCATACAAATTTATTGTTTTTGTACGTATAACTGTAACCGTTAGTGGTGTGTTTTGAACTTTACTACTAACATGTAATGGGTAGACTTCATGACAAGACCAACCAGACCGTCTTTGCTGACCATCAATTAATATTCAGAGTTGTTGAAGAATAGCAGGGTAAGCAAAGGATTCTTTAGAGATAACACTTAATAAAATCTCTTACTTTTTATGATAAATTCACATGCTTATCTAATGCTATGGACTAGATACTATGCTTAATAGTATTTGCATTACCCAGCTGTTGCTACATGTACCAGTCAGTACTTTACGCACTATACGTATCGCAGAATTAATGTAGGATTTAGGATCGTCAATTTCATATTTTCGGTCCATCATTTTCATGTTTCAGTGTAACTATAGAAGAAAGCAGATATAAAAATGCTGCGTAAATTTTCTTTATAGCAATATCAAATACAGTTGGCGCAGAAATATGTTATGAAATGAGATTTTAGTTACGTTGCTAATACATTTCTATATTTTAAGCTCACTACAGCTTTAATCCATTCTATTTAACGATAGGAGTACATAGAGTGAAATATAAAATTTGTATTATGTAAGTCCATAGAAGAGACTATAGATAAAATGCTTACCTAAATAGGTAGAGGGAAGCTAGTAAAACATTGGTTTTACCAAACTGTATAACGGTATGCTAAGAACGATTATTATCAGTTCAATACCTTAGCTCTACTCGATTCGTCTGGAGATTTTTAGTAAACCCTCCTTGATTACAAGTAGAAGAGTTTCGAAAAAGTAACCATGGAGTTTAAATAATTTGATAGTAAAGAGAGATCATTTTAGTCGCATACATAGAAAATTGATAACTTAACTAATAGAGCAGACATCTGCTTGAAATTTGCTAGCTCAAATCATTTCTCATTATTGAATGTTACTATTAAATGAAACATGATCAATTTTGTAGATACAAGTCATCTAATGCGACAAGGCTTGGCCTAAATTTCTCGGCCTAGACCAGTTACGTATGTTTTATCAAGGTTTTCATCTAGCGTTAGCGCAATTAATTTGATTGAAATTGTCCGCTTAAATTGGCTAGCCTAAACAGAATATGGTTACGTATATACGATGTATTTCAACCTCAGTTTGAAACGGTTAAAATTTTTACCTAAGAGCGATACGGCATTTAATCACTTATAGGCTATAGATAAGTCTTTTTAATTAACTATGTGAGTTGATAGTTAGTCTAGATTATAAGAAACGCCACAGGAAAAACCTAGGATAATCGTCAGTCACTAAAGGATGTGCGAGAGTTAGGGTTAGAGCTAAGTTAAGGTATAAATTGCGGACCAATTGCTCTATAACGGATATATTGCATTCGCCATGGGTATAGTCTTTAACAAGAGAGAAAAATGGATAAAGCTTACTGAGAACGTTAATTTAATTTTGTATGAGGTTTGAATTAATTAAATTAACATCAGTTTTACATTTATCATTATGATTAAGGAAAAATATGTTTGCTGGAGGTGACATTGTTCTTCAGTCCGTTCGTTATCTGTCCTCAGATGGTTATATCTTCAGTTACAAATCGTACATATTAAATATTTCCCTTGCTATCATATTTTCAAAATGGCGTCTGCACAGATTCAATATCGACATATGACTCATCCTTATATGCTGCCACCACAGGTTAAATCAGTGGCCCTTGGTCTTGCCGTTTCTCAAATGCTTCTTGGCTTGTTAGGTCTGATTGCAGGCATATTAGGCTTTACGCTATACCGATCTTACATGAATATTGTCATATTACTCGGCGTTGACATATGGACATGTTCATTTGTAAGTTTGTATTCAGCTTTAGATTCTTGCAGTTGTTCATTGTAAATATCCCTATTAATTAAGACGAAATAACTACCATAAAAGTAATTTTATCTCTTTACCGCACAAATGAAAATCCTTATCATCTTATGCAACGTGGTGCTATATGCATTTATTATTGTCTAAATACTAGTATCTATACATCTTGTGATCCAACCAATTTGGCCCAGATAATAAAATCATAATTTTTACATTTTAAGTGATATTTTCTATCAGGCTTTAACATGCAAATGAATAATAGTCATTAAATATAAAGTCAGTTCGCTACAAATTATGCTGATAAAAATGACAAGATACGCAATCTATTACAATGTTTAATATCAATCTATTCTGTAATTACTGTAGGCTTTCCCATTCAGGTCCTTTCAATATAATAAATATGTATACTAGCAGATATAAAATTCAATCCATTGCAAATCAGTCTATATTAAAGTTTTCGTAGATAATTCGTAACTTTTAACTACTTTCTAGTACACGACAGTTTTAGGCTATCGTCGTATTTTAGTATTAAGGTATGAAATAATAAATTTAATAGATTATATGTGAGATTGCGATCCTGAATGAATATGAATGCGTTACTTAGAGTGTGTTAATTCTATTGCTCACGCTATTTAGCGTGTAGAACAGTACAGCAAATTAGTGCCTTATGGTTATGCAGATCGAATACTTCGTGTAGGATTGGTACAACCGGAAACAAAATCGCATCTAGATTTAGTAGCATTTTATAGTGCAATAACCAGTTTACAATAAATATGGACGTCTAGAATATATATCGTGAACTTATTGTGTACTTGATTATATTCAAAAAACTTAGATTAGAATTTTGATATATTATGCAATGTTTGATGGAGCATAATAAATCATGTCAGATACGGATGTTTGCCTGTACAGTACAGTTTAATATATTGCTCCAATATAGATTAATTTATCGAAACTTTGTATTTCAAGTATTTCTAAGGATAGTGTCTTATTCAAATAATAGTTCATTATGTAACGTAACTGTATAGCGATAGCATTTAGCAATATATACCGCTAATGTTTCGACCATCTAAATTTACGTAAATCATGCAGTAGTCTACTCTACCGAGTGATATTAAACATAGAATTGAAGATTTTACATATTGTTACTCTTAACCTTTTGATAGGATTGAAAGTTAGAACGAAATATTTATTTCCCATTTAGTCTTTGATCTTACTAATATTTTCTATCATAAATGAAGAGAAGATAATATTAAGTTTTATTTCTTAGATAGTTCTCGATATAAGTCGGTATTAGGAAAATAATACTATCTCTTGAAGTCAATATCGCTATATCGTCAGTGTTTAATTTTTTATGATTTTAAATCAAAGTTTCATTTGTAAAGAAGATCAAACTTTTGGTGACTTTTGCTACATAAAGAATTGGATCTTAAATAATTTAATTGAGTCAATGAAGCCTTTACTATTAATATTTGATAAACAATTTATTTAAGAACTGCTTTCAGCTGTTCATAGCTATTAGAAATTTGATTGCAATATCTAAGATTTAGCTTTCGGCATTCTTGGTGTGATCCTTCAATAATCATTTTACATTATACATATCTGCTGACAAGCGGCTGAAGATGAATATTTACATTATAATTCAAATTAAATATCTTCCTTTATTAATGTTTTTAATAGTATCTCATAAGCGGACTACTTGGTATGGGCTTACATATAAATCCAGCAAATTATAGATTGGTAAATAAATTCTTAACCCTTTAGTATACCTCGGCAAAATATACCAATACCAATCATTTGATATCCAAATGGCTCCTTATTGATTGAATTAACTTATTTATTTTTTTTATTAGATGCATGCTTACTTTGCCTTTACTATCATTAGCTTCATTGTGTGCGTAGCCCAGTGCACTTTCTCTGCTATTTCACTTTTCTTCTACTATGTTCGGTACACATTTTGGCATAGTTTAGCGTCATTACTCATTGGAATGCTAGAGTTTGGCTTCAGTTTAGGGAATATTATTTTACTTGGACACCTTGTCTATTGCAAATCATTACAGGTGAATCAATGACGTGATAAAGTATAGATTTCAAAAAGCAAAAAAATATCAACAACTTAGTGTTGTTTGGAAGATCAATATGTTAATATTCGAGAGATTGCTATCTATAAAACTACTCTTAGAAATATAGAACATTTTTGAAGTATTTAAAAATAACAATTTTCTACGTTATGTACAATTTCTGCAACATTTTAATGTTCTGAAAGGCAAGTGCAACAGTAGTCTATCCTCCAAACCAGCAAATGTTGATGCAAGAATATAATTCTCCTTCAGGTAATGTAAAGAATAAAATTATATTACTTTTATATATTAAATTACTTGTTTTGAGTACAGGTCTTTATTACATACTTTATCATTACGTCAGTTGAAGCTGTGTTAAGTAGAACTTTAGCCGCAGAAACTCGCATTTCTGAAAACTTCCAACCACCACCACCTCCTCAGCCTATACCAAATAATAATATTAAAGATAATGATACTCCCGAATCTAAACGTCATTCGCGCTCTAGAAATTCATCTATAAGACAAAGTAGCGATGAATATTCCTCATCTGACACGTCTGAAGATATAGAGCTAGCTTCGAAGCATCGATCTAGACGCTCAGGAAGGTCTAGAAGAAAACATCATCGACGTTAGAAGTAATAGTAAGATTAAACTAGGAAATGCTACAAAAATTTAAGGACGAGTTTGTTCAAAATTTCTAATCGAAGACAAAGTTCAGAATTTCTTTAAAATTGCTAAGAAACCTTGTTGGCTAAGGAGTTACATTAAATTAAAAACTACCCGTGAAAATGTTGCAGTGCAATTTTGTAAACCCAAAATCGTCTTAATCTTGTCAGATTATTAGCATTTTTTGTAGCAGCTCATCTAATTTGATCATAATTTTTAAGTGGTTCAATATTCTTATTATATTAAGTAAATTAAAGGTTATCTTCCTACGGCAGGTTGTGCAGATAATATAGATTTTAAAGGGACATAAGTTCATTACAAGCACGTTTATATGGCTATTTTGTATTTTTTCGGTAAATAATTGATTTTAACTATTTCTTACTAGTTATTAGGAGCTTACCTGAGTCTTAAATATTAAATTTCAAATCTTGCTTTGTAGTTAATTCATTGTGCTTAAAAAAATCAACAAAACTGGCGTAAGCAATCAATAAAGAATATTTCAGTCATTTATATGGGCCTGGTTTTTATTACTAAATGAATCTAAAGTGAATGCGAATTCTACTTTCAATGACACTAGTTTATCAGAATGTATCTACTACAATTCTCTTCAGCTGATGTTTGCAATAAGCAAAAATTGCAACTACTATTAATAATCAAATAATATCATTAGTATAATGTCAAGCTGGTTTTCTCTGATATCTACTAGAGAGAGGACTCAAAATATAGACAAACTTCGATCATCGGAAGGTCTCAGTAAATTACGCATTTGTTCACAAGATAAACTGTGAATATAAACTTCATCGCAAAAATTAGCCAATTTATAGTTAATCTGCATTAATATTAATTATCAAGACCTGAATATGCAATAGAGTATCTTTAAAATAATAATAAAGAACTGCAATTTCTTGAAAAATTTACTTTATTATATAAGGCAGGTTCGTCTAACTACCAATGACTATCTGACTACAATCAGACTATCTAAACATTACAGAAAACATTCATCATTTATGCAATTATCGCAAACCAATTTTATGACTAGGTAACGTAAAGGTCCACTTCTACAAATTCATACTAATCTTTTCGTTTATGACTTTTACGTTCCGTAAAATAAAGAAATGATTTTACTCAGTAATTTGTAGAGCTTATATACTCTTTGGCAGCAGCTAACGTTGATGAATCATCTTTTAATAGTTCTTATAGATACCATATAGATATCTCTGACTGATTTTATATTGTCGAACTACTGTACGTCCATTTAGAGAATCATTTTAGGACATGTACATTGCACAATTTACCGTTCTATTATAGTACAATATTAAACGTGCAGATTTGTCTAAGCTCTATTATCCGGTTTATCTTAGTCATTTTCAACTGTTCTTATAAGAGGAAGGATTTGGAAATCTTCTCAAATGGACGGATGTATGAATAAACGTTAATATTCAAGACTATTTTTCGGTGTTTACGTTCATGTGCCACATTATGGAATTAGTCAAATTTTGGGTTACGTAGGCTAGTCAACAGTAATAGTAGGAGACTACGGTATTACTCAATCAAAACAGAGCATTGGTTTTACTAAATTTAGTCAGCTGATATTTCACGGTAGTTCGTACCTTGACAGCAGTTATATGTCGAATGACTTTTTTTACCTATACAATCATGTCTTACCGATAAAGTAGTAAGTTCAAATCTAAATCCACTATCGCGATCTATTCGTAATTCGCAGTCATAATTAATTTCAAGTTACGGCCTTTGCTGCAATGAAAATTTCTAACCCGACAAAAGATTAAGTTGAAGTATTCATTAAGCTAAAGCTAAACTAGGCCTGACGCTAACAAAATAACAGAATTTGAATTATGCCATATAAAGGGTTGTAAGTACTGATTAAACGAGATTTACTAAAATTTTCTAGTTACGATTTTTGTAACAATGAAAGGCTTTCAACATTACAAAAGACCTTATTTAAGTTGACATATTAATTAAGCTATAGCTAAACCGGACCTAAAAATAACAAGCTAAAAGAATTTAATCATATAAAAAGGTAGCGAGCAATATCTTTAGTCGGGCCCGTTTTGCTCTGAAAATATTTTAGGTGACCATTGATTTTTAGCCTTCTAGTACGATATTTCGTCAACTTAGGTACATTGATGAAGAGTAGTAATTGAATAAGATTTACTGAAACCTAAGGTTACAATATTTGTTGCAATAAAAGGGTTTCTAATACTACAATTAATTGGCGTAATAAGTTTAAATCAGCTGCACCTTATGATAGTAATATGATATGCTTGCTACGATATACAGGGGCCCAGGGTAAATTTTTTGGGAACGAAACGGTATATCCCCCAAAAATGGCACGCCGGCATATTATTATTGGTGTAGGATCTTTAACCATTTATTTGAGCAATAATTTATAATTTCAGTTCTATTTGGCATGAATTATAAATTGATAAGTAAAGTTCAAACCTGTTATTCGAAAATACCGACATACTTAGAAGAAAGAATTTCCTCTCAGAAGTCCCTGTTTGTGACAGTATTATATACTATATTAGAGTAGAAATATCTATGTTAGGATTATTCTGTTAGCTTATCCTTATTTAGTTAACTTCCAATTTGGATATTCTGTGTTTTAATATAGCACTGACTTTTTATGACCGTGACACATATACACATACTGAAATTACTAGTTATAATAGGGAATGCGAATCATCTACTTACAGTTCCAATCATTGTGATTGTAACTTACTTATGGTAGATTGTAAATTATCATGGAAATTTTCCGTGATAGGACATATCGTAATCTGACTATTCTGTATTAGTCATCAGATGTCTATGTTTGTAAATACTGTTGTCTGCATTAAGGGAGCAGTAGCTAAAATTAATATCTAATTCAGTGAATGATTCCAAAGTTAATCGTACTAACTATGACTCATGAACTATTGAGGAAGAGTATATAAATGCAGTATATCGTGTAATAAAGTGGATTCTTAAACTTAGTGTTTAACGTAAAATACGAGGCGTTTAAGTCTTTGTGTATTCTGTTAGTAGAGCAAAAGTGTTTGTGATAGTGCAGATATCGTTCCTTGATACGTAGTTCAAGGAATTGACTTATTGATCGTACGTTATGTTATCTTGTTGCGAAGCTGTTTTGTGAAATTGTTATAGCATTCGTCAGATATCGAATTTTAGCCTAATATTGAATGAAATAGATGTTAATATAGGATGAGCTGAAAAGGATACTAGTAGGAGAATATAGATAGTATTGCTTGCTCATAATCATAGAAGTTTGGCGAATTATAGATAATATAAATCGATCAAAGGCGATACTAGACTACCATCAATGACTACTGTAAGAAGAAATTTAATTCCTAGATAGTTTGCAGCATTCACCAACTTATTTAGCTTATTGTAAATAAACACAAATACGTTGCGACTTGGCCGACGTAATAGCTATCCAGATAATATAGTTGAAGATAATGATTAATACTTTAACGGTATTTTAAAAACGAGTGATTGCAATTATAAAGTAAAATTAAATGAGTATATAGCATATAATATCAATATGTAATCTTATAATAAGTCTTAATATAGATATATAAGAATTTAATATACGAAATAGCATAGGCTAGATCAAAGCTCTAAATGTAGCCAGTCAAGTACTCATATCATGATATTATGTTGTGCTAGTTGATAGAAGTAAATAAGCAAAAGTTGCGTAATAAAAAGAACTAATTCACATCTACTCTTGGAGTAACTAACGTGTAAAAATAATAAAATAGAAATATAACGATCTATATTAGCAGATGTCACAGATTTAATCGCTTTTAGTCGACTGTAATGTTAGCATTCAACATGAATGCCATCTTTTCAATTTTTATGATGAGGCAATGATTTTTATTTTGCATCTTTAATAAGAAAATATTTAAATATCCATGCGTATCTCGTTATAACTAGTTTTAATTAATTACCATATAGCATCTTTGCCAATAAAAGAGTTAATCAAGCTGTTTGCATCGGAGTAAATAACCAAGGAAGATTGAACTTAGATAATCCGCCTCAAATTTAACTGGGTACAATCCAGTAAACATGTAATTTTAATTGTTTAATGAATTAGAATAGTTGCAGAAATGAAGACTATATACTACAAGTATTGTCAGTTTGGTTTGTATCAGTCTCTTTTAAACATAATTAGTTAATTTCATGGTTTTACTGTTCGCTTAATTGAGATATTTTTTGTTTTAATTAATTTAATGCTAATAATTTTTTGTGAACAATTACAGGTATAATTTGAATAATTAACCATCTGTTCATTACGATTAAATCTTTGTTATTTTATTGATATGATATCAATAGATCGACTGAGCCATTATTCATTGAGGGGCAACACTACCGTGACTAGGCAAAGAAATTTCTATATTTGGTGTCATCATTCAATAATTAATAATTAAAAAATCGAGAGCTTCGCATTGATAAAACCAGAGTCTAAGCAGCTGGCAGTATCGGATTTATTTACTAATAAATCAAAAAGCAATATTGGTCAGGAGAATTTATAGCTAGATCTCGCGAATTTGATTATTCGCATAGGATTGAAACAATAGAGTAAAAGTTATAAATCTATTAAATGCGGGGTAAGCAAGTGATTTGCTAATAAGTCTAAACATAAAAAGATAAAATTTATTCTAGTTTTGTCAAATTTACCAGCTTTAAGATTGAATGAATATAACCCTCAGATTTTAAGCAAATACGTCATTTCTTAATGTAAGAGATTATTTTATCCTTCTCCATATATTAATTTTTAGAAAATACTTTGAATCCAGTTTCTACTTACTTTAAATAACTTAAATTACCAATCAAGGACGCCTTAAATACATATTACCAATCTATCTCCGCGTAAAAAATCGGACAAAATCATATATATGGTATATTAAAAATTATGAGGCTGCAAAATTTACGATTCGTGGTCTGTATATTAC